ACAGCTGGAGGATCCTCGCTCAGAACCTTTGCAAGGTTTAGCGTGGTCAATTAAAACAACATTTTTTGTTACCATCTCTTAAAGTTTATCCCAGCAAATTTTTTTGGGCGCTCATGGTAACTAAGCGGTCCTCCCGGAACAGCCAGAGTAATGCCAGGGTTGACCACAAAGGTCACAGCAGTAGCGGTTGGCAACCCAGTTACCCCGGGTTTCAGATCCCCACCAACATTAGCAGTAGCAGCAGCATCAGTGATAGTTGCCATTTCTGAAAATTACACCAGAATATCACTTCTGTGTTTCCAGAAATTAAACTTAACCCTTAGAAAATCCCTTAGATGAAAAATTAATTCAAAATTAGTCTCACCACAAAACCTAGAATTGAAATGGTCAAGAAAGTTCCTAGGAAGACTGGACGGGTCACATCAGTCCCACTTAAAACCCAGTTAACCTTTTGACAAAACTTTCAAGAGCATGTTGACTCCTAGTCCGTGATAAACAATTTTAAGAATTAAATTTTCTTAGGGATGAATTAGGTTAAAACAAATCAAGGTCCAAAACTTTTACAAACAATGTAAAATAATTGCTACAACAATATAAGCAAATAAAACTTGCTACTACAAATTAGTAAACAAACCAACTAAATCTCAATCAAAACATGCTTCAAACATTTAAATAAAATAGCCAATCCATAAGGATTCTATTTAGTCCAAAAGCCTTTCCACGCTTAGGTATTCCTATTCAACATAAAGGTTAGTAGTCCAAATATTTTTGTTATTACATCCCAAATACTATTCATTTGGTTTTGTATTTGTTTTTCCATTCCCTTTCGCATTGGTATGCCTACAAAGAAAGTTAGTAGCAAACCACAACAAAATACAAACAAATAATCTAAGAAAAAAGTAAATTTAATAAATTAAATGAAACCATCTAGCCAACTATTAAATATATAAGTAACCAATTAATATAAGGTACCACAACAAAATACAATTTGTAAGTTCAAAATTAAATTATAACTTTAAAGCAAAATTTAATAGTCATGAGTTATTAATTCACAACAACCATGTAAACTTGTAACTCCAAATAAATAAATTAAAACCAAAAATTAATGCATTCAGATTCATGCACCCAATTAAATTCAAATTAATGCACCAAATTAAATAATTCAGATTAATTCACCCATTTAGATAATTCAGATTAATGCACCCAATTAAATTCAAATTAATCATGTACACAATTCATAAAACTCTATAACTCCAAAATACATTTAACTAAAATTAATAGGTAAGAGTTACAAACCAATAACCATTTAGCAATTAACATATGCAAATAATTCTAAAAAAAATAAAATTAATTATGTAATCTAGTTTAGAAAATAATAAGCATGTAACAAATTAAAACTAGAATAGAATTAGCATGTCAAAATTGCAACAGTGATAGGCAATGAGAAGTAAGCACATCTGTTCTATTGTTTATTTATTATTATAATACCAAACATGCAACTAAAATCAGAACGTGACAAACTCAAAAGTCATGCAAATTATATTAAAAAAACTGGAAGCAATCAACCATAAATTATCTAATAAACGTAAACTAATTATCTAATAAATTGGATTGCAGCTATAGACAATGAGAAGTAAAACAGTAACATGCAATCTTATGAATCTATTTATATAATTTATGAAAACATCAAAAATCTGTTTTAAGCTTGTTGTCCAAATTGTGAAATTAAATAAATAGATTTATGAAGAAATCAAAATTATAAACCAAGAACATATGCTGATAATTACAACTAAATTCAATAGAAATACACAAAATAATAAAATGGTAAAGAAATAAAACCGAAGCCTGGACGGTAGCAGTTTCTTTAAAACAGATTTCGCCGCCTCACGGGTCGAGTGCTTGAGGAATCCCGGCGTCTGTCTCTTAGGATACGATGGTCAAAAACCAGCTACGTCAGAAGCACTCTCTGTCTAGCTTAGCGAACAAAGCCAGTGGCAGCACTCTCTCAAAGTAGGAACTTTCTGGCAAACTGACTTGTAAAATGGAAGTAAAAATTTCTATATTGAGACTTGACAGGAGGGTCTCAATTTATATATGTATAAGGGAGAGGGGAAGAGCCTCCAGCCTTTAAGGCTGGTCATTAAAACACCATTAACCAATATCCATAACCCCTTTTCAAAAAATTGAAAAGTTTGGATGCCTAAAAGATTCACACCCTTTAGCCAAGAAAAATGATTTAAATACTCTTTAAAATCTCATTCATGAATCTAACATCATGAGGCAATTTATTGGCAATTTCTTATTCAAATATCAATAATTTTTGGCCCATTTGGACCCAACACAATAGCTGGTTGAGACTCACTTTAATATTTAATTAAAGTCATTACACTTTAATATTAAATTAAAGTCACCAAAAATCATTTTTTCCAACAGTTATTTGAATTCCTTATAACTTTTTTATGTTTATAAATTTGTGCTAGATTATTTGATATAATTTTTCTTTATAATGCAGAAATAAGAATAAATTACACTTTACTACATTCATATTTGATTATTTTTTTACTTTGATCTTTAAATTTTTCATTTTTTTAACTCTGGCCCCTTACGTTTGTTAAGTTATTCTTTAAATAAATTTATGTTTAAAATTATGCATAAAATGTCATGTTAAATATTAATTATCACATAATATAGAAATATATTATTATATTAGAGTTTAGATATATGTTAGAGGTGTAAGTTATATACAATAAAATATGTTTTATGTCACGTAACTGTTAATGTATCATTTTGTATCTAATTCTAGTTATAAGTTAGCTTTTAAAATAAATTGAGAAAAACTAAAAAAAAAAAAAGCCATAATTAAAAAAAAAAAGGAAAAAAGTAAAAAAATAACTAAATATAAAGAAGTAAAGTATAATTTATTCCTAAAAATATCACTCTATTTGGTTTGGAATTTTTGAAAACAATTTTTAAAATTTTCAATTCATATATTTTATATTTTTAGTGATTTTTTAAATATTTTAATCAATTTTTTCATTTTTTAAATGTACTTAAAAAGTATAAAATTTGTACAAAAATCTTTATAAATTCATTGGATATAACAAAATATAAAAATTTACTAAAAAAGTTTTAAAATAAAAAATTACGTAAAATATTAAAAGAATTTGCTAAAAAAAATTTAAAATATAAAATTCAATTAAAATAAAAGTGAGTTAATATATAAACGGATATGGGCCTTGCCAACGATTACCGACACGCAGCTGGGCTAAATACAGAATTATGTTATTACAGGTACGTAATAGCTTGACCACTTTACACCTTACCAAACCCTCCTTGTTGGCAAATTAACATATCGTTTGGAAACAAATTATTATTTCTGGTGCTTTTACTAAAATGCTTGGTAGTGCCCATTCTATTGCTTTAATCATCCTACTTTATTATAAATATATAAAAATATATAAAAATGTATAAAAATAAAATTATATTCATACATAAAATTTGTTTAAAAAACTTGATAAAAATAATGAGGTAATATTAAAATACTAAATAAATTTATTTTTAATGGTACAATGTCACCTATCACAATCACTCATTGTCAAAGTTTTGGGGTAAGATGAAGAGTTATTTACAGTAAAATTCTTAAATTATTGTCCACTATTATTTTAATTTTTTAAATTATTAAAGTATATAAATATTTTTTTTAAATTATTTAGAATTATCACTTTATTTTTTAAATTATAAAATATACAAATAGATCAATGAATTGTAAAAGCATACAAATTAAACCCTCGTAATAGAAGGAATTAAAGTAAAACTCTCTAATAATTTAAAAGTCTATTTATAGGCACTACTAGAAAAATGACCTTTTGCTACCATATAATTTGCGACCCCCTTATTATCAGTCGCAAATAATCTATTTATTCCTTATATTTATTTTTTCTTCCTTTTTTCCTTATAATTGCCCTAGCCCTATTTCACAAACATTGATATCGTTCCTCTCTCTCTCTCTCTCTCTCTCTTTATGTCTTAAATCAATCGTCGAAGCTCTCAGTTCTCAGGTCGCCAGTAACGTTTCTCTCTCCTTCGGCTGCCTCGCCTTCGCCACTGCCCTTCTCAACCTCTTCCAGGTCTCTTTCTCTCTCTTTATATACATGCATATATTTGTGTATATATCTCTGATAGCTTGTGTTCTAGATGATTCTAGAGAGAGAATTGACAAATAGCTCTAAAGATCTATGGCGGATCATTCTCTTTCTCTCTCTCTCTCGCACGCATTCAACAGACTTGTACAGCTCTGCTCTCTCGCTCGTCATCGTCGTCTGAAGATCTCCAGCGGTATGAATCTCTCTCTCAATCTCGCCCCCAATCCCTCTCTCTCTCTCTCTCTCTATCTATCTATCTACACATACATATCATACGAGGAAGCTCTGGTTCGACTAATTCGTCTCATCCTCGTACAGGTATGTACTGGTTCAACTCATCTTATTCTTGCCCTATTTTGTTGCATTTTCCATATCTATTAGTGTATATCTCTCAATTTCTTCTTCAATACATTATAGTGAGTAGTACATTGTTGTTTTTAACTTGAAATCAAGATTTCATTTATTATCGGCAATTTTGAATTTGTTGAGGCAAGAACTGGTAAATTTGAATTTGGAAGATAAAAGGTCCTAGTGTTGAATTTGCTTGATTTATATGTGATATTAAATTAGTTCATTGATCATGCTGATTGGATTTTCTAGTTGATTGATCTGTTAGCATTGACATTGACATGAAGTCTGTATTGAATGAATCTGTCTCATGGATGAAGTTTCTGTGTAACATAAAGCTCAACATTGATTATTAGTGCAGGAAGACATAGAACATTTTGGAGATGTCGGTTCTCTGGATGATAATATGGATTCATTTCTGTCGCATGATGGAGGAGAGGGAAGAGATCTGTATGGCACCTTAAAACCAGGTCTTACTGAGCATAAAACAGAGTCTTCTAAGGGTAATCAATTGTTGTATTTTGTGTATTTTGCCTCCTTGCCCCCTTTTGGTTTAAACCTGATCAGATTTTGGTGAGCAATGGAGCAAAGCAGAGCATCCTTCAAGTAGTGCTAGTTGTTTGTTCTCCTGGAGATGAGGTTTAGTCCACACTTTTACACTCATCACTAGATCTATAAATTCTATGAATCTTCTTTTTGATTTCCTTGTTCTGAAATGAATAGATTAAGTCTAGTGCACCCAATTGGCTGCTGTGCAATGAAGACTTTTTTTCTCTATATTCACCTCTCACCACAAATGAATCATGTTAAGATTTCAAACAATGACTTCTCAGTCAGCTATATCATTTCAGCCGTAATGACATCAAATTTTAACTTCTGGGAGTACTGGGAAGGAAATTGAGTTCTTGCTGAACTGCCACCAAGACAATAAACTTATTATGATTGGTGCGAATCATTTGAGGTGTTGATCATGTGTCTACAATGAAATAAGATGTTGATATTTGCCCAAACCCCCTTTGACTTTCTTGTTTCCTTCTAAAATAACATTCAGTGAGACCATTGGTGTTGTATGAAAGTATCATCCCAAGCAAATCTTGATCAGTACAAAAAAGAGCCTGCAGTCTCTCATTGCCTAACCTGGTTTCTTCATGCTTCAAATCTTTTAGATTTGACCTTTATTTGGTTCTCAGGACCATAGTAATTACAAAAAGAATATAAGGAGTCTTGTGGATGTTAGATAGATAATAACTGACCGAGGAATTATGACAGAATAAATGGAATGGTATTTCTGCATATACAGTGCAGTCAGGAAGGCTACACACACAGCCAATTACATTGAAGAGTTTTAGTTCAGAGATGTTATGTTGTGGATAAAACTGTTCACTGATTTACCTCCTTGGCACAACCATTCAGCTGGAAGAAAAAAGAAGTAAACTACACCTTATTAGTTACTAATAGGCATGTTTTTTGGGATATTTTATCCTCCATTTCAAATGTGTGTGTTATGAAGTATGGAAATGTGGCACAATGGAAGTAATCTTTGTTGGTTACTTGGATGAGGGTGCTGACATTTTAAATGTTTATATTTAATGCTCTACCTTTGCAGTTGATAGACACTTACAGGATAGCATTTATTCTTCAGGTTATAATTCCAGCTCCATTTTGGGTGAGTTACCCAGAAATGGCAAGGTTGGCTGATGCGACCCCTGTGATTCTTCTTACCCACATCTCCGAAAATTTTCTCTTAGATCCAAAGCATCTTGAATCCAAACTCAGTGAGAAGTCGAGACTGTTGATTCTTTGTTCCCCATCTAACCCAACAGGATCTGTTTACCCAAGGAAGTTGCTTGAAGAGATCGCTCAGATTGTGGCAAGGCATCCCCGGCTTCTGGTAAAATATCACTTATCATGGAACTTTTGGTATCCTTATTTGGAGCATATTCAAGTTACCTAACATCAAGTTTTGGATTGCCTTTGGTTGTTCTATTCAGGTGCTGTCTGATGAAATATATGAACACATTATTTATGCACCAGCAACGCACACAAGCTTTGCATCTTTGCTAGGGATGTGGGAGAGGACACTGACTGTCAACGGGTTTTCTAAGGTGCTTCAGCTTAATTCCTTTCAAGTTTTTTATTTATTTATTTATTTGTACTGAAGTGCTTTCCTTGCACATAATTTTGATATGGTCATACATATCAAGTCATGAACCTTAGAAAATGTTGATATTTATAGGCCTTTGCAATGACTGGTTGGAGACTTGGATATCTTGCTGGTCCTAAACACTTTGTTGCAGCATGTGGAAAGATTCAAAGCCAAGTATGCACACTTCTTTGCCTCTTTTCTTTCATCATCTTTAGTAGACTAGTAACTCTTATCAATTTGTATTCTGTAACCTTCATCAATGTCGGTTAACATGACATCTAATGCGTGGAGAATCCAGATTCTTGAATATGCTTCAAAATTTGATGATACATTAGATTGTTTCTCATCCCTTGTGGAGGTTTTAACCTTCTAAAGATATGGAAGATATTGTTAACATGGTTGAGACCAACCCTTGCTAATATATTGGTATATGTCAGTAAAAAGAAACTGCATGAAAGCTATTGCAGACTGCATTGTTTTGGTCTTCAATTGAGCTTCATTGCATTTGGTTATTTTAAAAAGGCTATTTTAAATTTTGGTTGAATTTCTTGAACTATGTTCTTGTACTATAATCAACATGCTCAATCTAATTCTTTCATGCATTATTCCAGTCCACTTCAGGTGCCAGTAGTATATCTCAAAAAGCAGGTGTTGCTGCTTTAGAATTGGGCTATGCTGGTGGGGAAGCAGTTTCTACTATGGTTAAAGCATTTCAGGAGCGACGAGATTATTTGGTTAAGAGTTTTGGGGAATTGAAAGGTGTTAAAATATCGGAGCCCCAGGTATGGGTTTTATTTTTTATGTACACATTTAGTGTTTAAAACCCAGATCTTTTTCTTCTCTCTTCTCTGTTCTGGTGCTGTTTCAAGCTTGATTTGTTGGTTCTTGTACTTCTCATTTGCAGGGAGCTTTCTATCTTTTTCTCGATTTCAGCTCATACTACGGATCAGAGGCTGAAGGCTTTGGTATGATCGAAGATTCAGAGTCCTTATGCCGCTATTTGCTGGAAAAGGCTCAGGTAAGCTTCTAAGCGGTGCCATTTCTGGATAAAATGAAAAGGAAGTAGAAAGAAATGTAAATTGAATGAGAATTAATGAATGGAATAAGTAGATCAGGAAGAACTCACATGAGTCCATTCAATAGATCGCTAAGTCCTGGACAAAAGAAATAGTTGGGATTTCCTCTTTGAAGAATGGCTGTCTCTTTGAATTTATATTGTGTTTAACTACATAGCATTTTATAGTATGAAGGCACCTGGTTGAGTTTGATATATGTTTTTGCAGATTTTGTTGAGGGAACAGTTGATATGATCAAGCGGGTGATGTTGGGAGCCAAAGATTATGTTTTTTTTTTTTTGAAGACTTGAATTTTTTAGTACAGGGTATTTAAGGATGATTAATGGATAATGTCTATTATAAATTTAATTAATTTGTTAATTTTGTTATTTTTCATTAACAAAAAATTGTTTGGTACTTGTAATTGATTTTTTTGTTGTAGCAAACCCGTATATGATTTTGTTTTTAAGAAATAATTATTTGCGACAGTAAAACAATGGTCGCTAAAAGTATTTTTTATTTTTTTATTTTTTTTGCGACGGCAAAATAGCTGTCGCAAAAAATAGTTTAGGTGGTCGCAAATAATTTGCGACCGTTGTTTTGCCGTCGCAAAAAGTATTTGCCACCCCCACATTTGCGTCCCCCATCTGCGGTCGCATAGGCCGTCGCAAAAAGTCTTTTGCGACTGTATTTTTATTATTTGCGACGGCTTATGGCAGTCGCAAAAAGTGTTTTTTTTAGTAGTGAGGCTTTTATAGCTTAAGTAATAATGAGCTATTTTGAAAAGATTGTTAAAAGTTTTTTTTTTTAACTTTTAACTTATTTTGAGTCATATCATTTCTCACATTTTTAAACATTTTTTTCAATAAAAGTCCAAAAAAATTAAAAAGTCAATTTTTAACTATCTCCTCAAAATAACTGAGGTAATACTTTTCAATAATTTAAGAAATCCATTTATATACTTTTATAATTTTGCAGGTCAAAATGATAATTTTTAATAATTTAAGAGATTTTCATATAAATAACCCAAAGATAATAGAGAAAGTTAGCAGTTTGAATTGATAGAGCAGTGCAAACTTTTTTAGTTATAATTTAATTTTATTAACAAACTAGCCTCCTATAATCTTGGTAAAAAAAAATCTAAAGATGAACTAAGGTACTGTTAGGACTCCTGTGATTTATTATAAATTTTATTTTGACAATATAAATTATTTGTTTAATTGGAAAATTGTGTAGAGAAATCTAGGTGGGTGCTGGTTATGGATTTTACTTTGAAGGTTTCATTCATTCATTTTGCGATTTTTTTTTTTCTTTCTTTTCGAGTTCATTTATAGATATTTTTTTTAAAAAATAAAATCATAATATAATGATTTTATTATATTTATCTTAAAAAATTGGCAAGTATGATTTTAGAATAAACTTTTTATTAAGATAAATATAATGAAATTATGTGATTGATTAATATAGGACAAACTACACTAACGGTCATTATAATTTGGGGCTTATGTCACTTTAATCCCTAACTTTTCAATTGAGATACATTTTATCTTAAATTTTGAATTTGTTCCAAATAAGGACAATTGAAGATACCATTGCTTAATTTGAAGGGCAAAATCGTCAATTTAATAAAATACAAACTAATTTGACAAAAATAAATGTCAAAAAAATATTTTTTAATTTTTTGAAAATTATTTTTACCCACTAAAGATAAAATTATATAAAATTAATAAATCTTTTAGACATTTATTTATTTATTTATTTGCCAAATTAATTTTTATTATGTGTTTGGATGATGATATGTAATGGGTGGTTTTTTTCCCATTAAATTAGTTTCTATTTTTCCGAAAGTCAAATATGACAACAATTTTGATATCATTATTAAATCAATCCATTAAATTAAAAATCTAAAACTAAAAACATTTCATATATTAAATATATCGATTACACATTAAAATTCTAACAATCACCTATTACATGATCACCATCCAAAGATATAATAAAAATTAATTTGGGAAAAATAAATAAATAAATGTCTAAAAGATTTATTAATTTTACATAATTTTATCTTTGGTGGATAAAAATAATTTTTAAAAATTTAAAAATATTTTTTCAACATTTATTTTTGTCAAATTAGTTTATATTGATCAAATTGACGATTTTGCCATTGAAATTAAACAACAGTATTTTCAATTGTCCTTATTTGAAATAATGATTTAAAATTCAGGGTCAAATGTGTTACAATTAAAAAGTCAAAGATCAAAGTGATACGAGCCCCAAACTATGGGACTGTTAGTGTAATTTGCCCATTAATATATATAGAGTCAATATTTTCATTCTACTTTGTTTTAAATACACTCTCTTTTATGTATAATAAGGACAAAAAGAGAGTATATTTAAAACAAAATAGAGTAAGAATCTCTCTCTCTCTCTCTCTCTATATATATATATATGGGTAAATTATAAATATATTTCCTGAGATTTGTTTAAAATATAGATTGCCACCTGTAGTTTGAAAAATTATAAATACCATTTTATTAGAATTTTTTATTTAACATAATTAACTAAAAAAATAAAATTCATAATTGCTCTCCTATATAATAATAAAATTATCTAAATTATTAATTAAAATATATTTTTAACATCATTAAAAACTGTTAATGACTTAATGATTTATTAATAAAAGTGACGATTTGGCATGAAATTAGAAACCTCAGAGGGTAGAATATAATTTTTAAAACTACAGAGAATGATTCGTATTTTAATTAAATTTTAGAAGATGTATTTATATATTTATGAATAATTTACACAAAATACCTCTAGATTGAATGACTTAAATTACTGAAAGCAATCCATAGTAATGGACTAACCGTATCCACTGACCCTTTCTCCAACGAGTCCGGATCCTCGGCCGCCCAATCCTGCGGCCGTTCCTGCGGCACCCCCAAAACGACGTCGTTTTGGGGGAAATTTCAATTTAAAAAAAAAAAAGGGACAGAACAGAATAAAGAAGAAGAAGGAAGGAAGAACAAAAAATGGAGAAGAAGGAAGGAGAAGGTAGATCCGGACTCCTTCAATCTCTGTTGCTCTATTCAATTGATTTTCCTATCACTCCATTTGATTCGAAGCTACCTTGTCGACTCTCATGGCTCCAATTACTTCTCCTCCTGGGACTTCACCACCAACCCCTGCAACTTCCCCGGCGTCTACTGCGACTCCGACAAGATCATCACCTTGAATCTCGGCGAGAGAAGAGAGGTTTCCGATGGCCGGGTGGAGGTGGCCGGTGAGGCCGAGTTTTGTTCCCCAAGTTTGTCTCTTTCTCGTCTCTTATCACAAATTTTTTTATTTTTTATTTTTTTTAAGAAAATCAAGCAAGTTTTTAAATCTTTTACTAACATCTGATACATCAAATTTATTTATTTATTTTTGTTTCCTCTGTTTAGAGGTCAGCGAAGTAGAGAGTAAATCTTAGAGGCACAATGCAAAAGCGGAAAAAGGCCAATTTTTTTGATAGGGTTTTGATTGTAAAGCCAAAAAAAGCTTACACAAATGGAGCTTTTTGCTCAAAAAGTTGTTTGATTATTATTTTTTAAAATTTTTTGAACTAAAAGTTGTTTGCTTATGTCCAAAAGGTTTTTTTAACTTATTTTTTGTTTTTTTGTTTCCCCATTTTATGAAATGATTTCAAGGAAATGCCAATGGCGTTCTTGTGAGTCTTTTCTGGGTGTGAACTCCGTTTGTTCTTCCTTCCTCCTCCTTCTTTATTTTGTTCTGTCCCTTCTTTTTTTTTTAAATTGAAATTTCCCCAAAAATGACGTCGTTTTGAGGGTGTCGCAGGAATATGCGGCCGAGGATCTGTACTCGAAAAAAAAATGGCGATACAAAAAAGGCGTAAACATTGATGTGGGTGGGATTTCAATTTCATGTGTTAATGAATGTTGAGGCCTATTATTTTATAAGTTCGACTTTATACCAATTAATCCATATGTTTTTTTTTTATTTCACTTGTCAAAAAATCGAACTTAATTCTCTGTTGAAATTTCTTTTATTCTCGTTCTAGGTAATTTTTGATATGATTTTTTTTTCTTTTCAATTTGATCATGTGGTAGAAATAGGTAAAATCATCACGTTTCTTCGTCTTTTTATTTTTAATTTTTTTCATAATTAAATAAAAACTAAATTACAAATACAATATTTGAAATTTATTTAGGCTAGGTTTGGAATCTTTAAAAAAAGTTAAAAAGTCACTATCCTATTTAAGTCACATCATCTTATTTAAGTCACATCACCTCTCTACCACATCATTTCAAACTCAACCCATATTTTATAAAAAGTCAAAAAATATACTTATTTAGAACATCTCAAACAACCCCTTAAAGTATAGATTACTCAAAATACTCCATTGTTAGAATTTTTTATTTAATAGAATTAACTAAAAAAATAAAATTCATAATTGCTCTCTTATAAAATAGGGTTTTTTTTTTTTAAGGTCCCTGGTATTATGATTTTATAGCATAAAGGACACTCAATATTTTCATGATGTCTAAGGTCCCTCAATATCAATCCAGAGAAAATTCAAATTTCTTTGGACACATCACAGAGAAAATCTCACCAGAGAATTTCTCTGGATTCAACCCAAAGAAATTTCCCTCTCCACTCCAGAGAAATTTACTTATTCCCAGAGAAAATTCCCTCAAACCAGAGAAGTTCACTTGTTGTCTGCAGTTTGATAGAAGGGTTTAAGAATATAACCAATACGAGACACAATGCAATACATGGAACTAAAGAGTGTGCATCTTGATATTGATAGCTTACCAATGCCTTGAATCAACACTTCTGTTAACACTGTAAATTTCTCTGCCCTTCCTTTCTCCAAATTTCTCTGCCTTCCATATACTTCCCACTCTCCTAGAGAAATTTCTCTGCCTTTCCACAAAAGTACATCTCCAGAGAAATTCTCTGCCCTTCCTGCCTCTTCTAGACCCAATACTCCAGAGAAATTTGAAA